GCCAGCTGTCAGTTGTGGCTGTGGCTATTTTTGTAGGCCCTGCAGTCACTGTCCTGCAAAGGCTATGCCCAGGGCTGCTGCCCCAGTTGCACTCTCTCAACTATGCTACTGTTAAGGAGAGTGGCTTTAAAAGCTACTCAGTCTTTTGATCACTTTCTTCTCACAGGAATCAAGTACCTTCTAATTGTCACTTGGCCTTTGAACCATTAGCTCCAGCACCGAAAAGATAAAGCTAACAAGTTGTTTTACACAGGATGTAGAATCTGATCCTTGAAGTTAATAGCTTTCTCCATGGTCTTTCAAGTGCGTGTTGGGGTGTTTTGTCTGCAGATAGTTGTCATCTTCTTCATGAAAGTCCCTATTAAACAAAAGCAGTGCGAGCATGTAAGAAACTTTCCACTAATCCCATTATAAAATTATAATCTACTTCAGTAATGAAATTACATATAGGATTTTTATCATTACAGAACATGTCTTCATCTTCTTCCACCCTGCTTTCTAGATCTTTAATGACTATATTAAAAATCTTTGCACTAACCCAAAATGTAAGCCTTCCAAATGGAAATCAAAATATACAAGGCTAAATTTTTTGTCAATATACACTCAAGAGGGCCTGGGTAGAAGACCACACCCCTCACTAGAGAGGAAGACAGAAACCCCCACAGTCCATACCAGTCTGACCATGGGGTGGAATTCCTTTCTGACCCCAAATATGGTGATCAGTCTGACCCTGAGTGCAGGGGCAAGACACTGTAGCCAGCAACCTCTGGCTTTGGTCCCAGCAGGCGAATCAACACACCCTGGTTGAAGTCCCCAGCCTTAGCTGTAGCCAACACCCAGTGCCTCTGGGGTGGCTTAAAAACACCCTGGCACAGATATAGCAGATAAGAAGCGAGGAGGACAGGGCAGAGGGGATAGGATGGGAGCAACCAGCAAAGTCAGAAGTGTGGGAAATACCCATGGTAGAAAATAGGCATAACTACACCTAGATCAACCCCAACCAGTGACTGTCTAACCTCTTCTTGAACAGCTTCAGTGATGGAGAGTCCACAACTTCCCTAGGCAGTTTATTCCACTGCCTCAGTATTCACACAGTGAAGAAGTATTTCCAGATATCCAATCTAAATGTACATTACTGTCACTCCAAGCCACTGGTCTGTGTCCTCCTTTCTGCAGCAAGAGAGAAAAGGTACTTTCTCTCTTCTTTAAGGCAGCCCTTCAAGTGCATGTCCTCTCTTAAGTCCCATATTCTAGTGTTTGACTTTAAATCCTGGTTTCACAAGGACTTGTGTAACTTTAAGAACCTGAGTACCACACACTGCAGGACAGGATTGTAAGCAAGAAGCTTTTTTTAGCATCTGTGCTGTTTAAACAGTTGAGAGAAATTAATTTGGCAATGGTTATTCATTGGAAAGGTTTTTAAATATTTATTTCACAGGAAATATAATAAAGCTACACATTCTTTTCAGCCTCACACCAGCTTTTTAAAAATTTCTAATACAAATATTTTTTAAAACCATTGCAGACTTGGAGTTCCCGTTCATAAGCTAACATTTGTGCTATGTTTTTAAAATGAATCCACTTTGATTATGAAGATTTTTTGTGACTTCATTGGGTTTTTGTTTAATAATAATATGATTGCATTGTGTCAGGCTAACAGGTGTCATTGTCACTGTCTTCATCAGGTGTTATTGATATGGTGTCAATGCTGAAGTCTCAGGAACTGCAGTTCTAGCAAAAGTTGCTGCCAGGAGATCTTGTTTTAAAGAATGACCACAGGCTAGCTTCTGTGGCAGAGGCTTGGCCAGGTTTATTATCTACAAAGTATAGCCCTTACATGCTTTTGATCTGACAGAGAAGGTGTTAAAGCATGCATGCCCAGTATTACCACAACACCATGTAGGTTCCCCTAGGCCAATACAAAATTCCTATACTTTCCAATTCTCATTTTATACAGAGGCCAAACCAAAGTATATATTACATTCCACCTGTATTTTGATTATCTTAAACCATCCTGTACCACGGGCTTGTTCCACATTCTGATCTGGGTGTTCCCATTTCGGTCTTATCGTTTTGTTACTGGACTCTTCTACAACTTGTACAGCCATCTCCTCCTCCCATCTGGCAGGACTGCACATCTGGCCCACATGCCAAGTTTTGTTTATGCAAGGAGTTCATACATCGGTCAGGTTTGATGGTCTGGCATACTCTAACTGATGCTTTAGCAAAGCCATTGTGTGAGCACTATATATATTGATCAGTGCTCCAGTAAAGCCTACAACAAGTGCAAGTGGTCCTTGCAATATGTTTTGTCTATCACACGACTCAGTGACAAATCCTCCCAGCCACAAAGCTGTCTCACCAATCATTGTTTGCCCCACATAACTCCATCAACCCTGTTCCTTTTGGTTCTTCGCTTTCCTTCTTTGAATTTGGCCCCACTCTGTTATTCTCTTTTCTTTTATATTTACTCCTGACATTTCCTCCTCCTTCCTTTCCTCCTACAACTGCACAATTGTTTTTCACGTGGACCCATATTTAGGGAAGGATTCTTATTTAGGAAAGTTCTTGAGCACATGTTTAACCTTTGAAGCTGATGACTACATTCATACAACGTAAGGGAGTGCCATGCTGATAGATGCTGCAGCTGTGTTGAAATAAACCAGGCCTGTTCTGTACATGCACTCCCAAACCAGAAGCTGCGTGGCCACATGGTTCAGTGCTGTATATACCAGTAAGTTCTGCTGCTCAGCAGCACTTATTGGTGCACACACAGCAGCACACTAATGTGGCTACAGTACCTCTGCTTTGGGAACTCATGCACATAGAGCAACTAGAGCACCATGCTGTTTTGCACTGGATAGAAATCCCCAGTTAAAGCCCACTGATTTTCTTTTCCTTAAAGGTCTGCCTGAGCTTTGTATTTGTTACTGTCCTTAGATACTCTGCAAATGGAGTGCAACTCTATAGGGATTAGTAGCAATTCAAATAGTTGTACTTGGGCACTATTGATTCTGAATATTTTGAATGATAGCTGGGTTGGACAGTTTTATGGTGTTGTACATTTTGGTCATGCTTTGTGCCATAATAGAAAATCCTTTGCTTGTTGAGATGATGTTTTTGAAATTTGTTTTTGGGCAGTGTGTAGGGGATACATTTGGCTAGTTACCATATGATTTGAAATATTTTTAATAAAGTCGGTGATCTTGGACCTTTCTCAGCAGCTTGCTGCAGATAAGTCTTGTTCATTTCAGAGGTCATGTTCTTATGCACCCCCTACATTCCGTCTCACAACATAAGCTCTCTCCCCAATATACACACGTGAACTGTCTGACTCCCTCAACGGGAGAGTTTTTTGCAAGGAGTTCCTTCTTCCCACCCAAGACCTATGGAAGAGAGACTGAAAAGATTCTCCAAGTCAGAGGCTTGGTGAGAGCAAGAACTCTGAGCTGGTTCACCCACATTCCTTGTTTTTCTCAGGCAGCCTGGCCTATAGTAAATGCCCACTGTCACAATCCAGACTGGTCTGTGGTATGTGTAGAATAAATCTTAATCTTAATAAATCTCTTCAGATAAAATTCTCTGCATCTGTGGACAACTGCACTCTCTAGGAACAGCTACTACACATAAACATTAATGTACATAGTTGAATTTCTTTACCTTGTCTTATGAGCAGTTTGAGTGAGAGTATTATAAAGGGATGCTGACAAGCTCTGGTGGTGAGCTATAGGCAAACAAAGGGCAGCCCACTGCTTCTACATTACTGAAAATGGAGATATTCAAGAAAGCCTCTCACTTAGTCTCCCATGATGTCCTCATGGTTAAGCGGGGGAGCTGCAGCCTTGATCATCTCACAGTCTGATGTCTGGAAAACTGGCTCTGGGGTCGGACCCAAAGAGTACTAGTTGATGGGAGCAAATCAACATGGCACAAGGTGACCAGTGGTGTCCCTCAGGGCTCAGTACTCGGGCTGGTACTCTTCAACATCTTCATTAATGAACTGGATTCAGGTGTCAGATGCAGACTGGCAAAGTTCGCAGACGACACTAAGCTATGGGGGAAGGCGGTCACACTGGAAGACAGGCTGGGAATACAGGCTGACCTGGACACACTCGCAAGGTGGGCGGACCACACCTGATGGCCTTCAATGTAGAGAAGTGCAGAGTGCTCCACCTTGGGAGGAAGAACAAGCAGCATACTTACAGGCTTGGCGATGCTACACTCACTAGCACCACAACCAAAAGAGACTTGGGGGTCTTGATCGACCACAAGATGAATATGAGCTACCAATACGATGCCATGGCTGGCAAAGCAAACCAAACTCTGGCATGCATCCACCAATGTATCTCAAGCAAAACCAGGGACGTCATCCTCCTGCTTTACTCGGCCTTAGTGAGGCCACAGCTGGAGTACTGTGTCCAGTTTTGGGTCCCCCACTTCAGGAGGGACATGGATAAGCTTGGGAGTGTCCAAAGGAGACCCACCCATATGATCAAAGGCCAAGGGGGCAAGGCTTAGGAGGAGAGGCTGAGGGACTTGAGACTCTTCAGCCTGGAGAAGAGAAGGCTCAGGGGGGACTTGGCGGCAGGCTACAAGTATATAAGGGGGGTGCACAGGACCTGGGAGGACAGTTGTTCACCAGGGTTCCCCAGGGGATAACAAGGTCTAATGGCCCCAAACTTCTGGAAGGCTGATTTAGACTGGACAAAAGAAAAAACTTCTTTACAGTCCGTGTGAACAGACTCCCCCTCAGAGGTGGTGCAAGCACCTACTCTGGACTCGTTCAAAAGGCATCTGGATGTTTGTCTTGCTGGGATCATTTGACCCCAGCAGACTTTCTGCCTATGGCAGGGGCTGGACTCGATGATCTCATGAGGTCCCTTCCAGCCCCTAATGTCTATGAAATCTAACTGAAACTCATACATTAAAATTATTAGTTTGAATTGCATGTTTCATGTTGGCTTTCCTCTTCTTCTCTATTCTCACTGCCTTTTCTTTAGGCTATTCATTCTGTTGCATGGCACCATGAGGGGAAACAGTTCATGTGCAGTCACTCTGATGGCAGCTTGACACTGTGGAACCTGAAAAGTCCTAGCAGACCATTCCAGACAACAGTTCCTCACGGTAAGATAGATGCTTTCACACACATTAGAGAGCAAGATAGAAAGCTAAGTCCCTCATTTGATATTGAAATGGAAATGTTCTCTAAGCCTCTTTCAACAACCCTGCATAGACAGATAAATGAACTTAGTCAGACGTCACAGTTGAGGCAATATATGCATTTACTTTGAGTGAACATAGCAAGAGAAAATTAACTGTATCCCAGTCAATAAATCATAAAGGAGTCTAACTGTTTCCAGGAATTTTGTTTGGGCAAGATCGGTATAGCTCAGAAAAAAAGGGAAATTTTAACTTTTTCTAAAACCTGCTTATTTTATCATTCTTTTTGAGAACTTCAAAATCCTAGACACATGCAATATCTGCTTTTTACAAATGATTCCTCCCTCAATTGAAATTAGAAATTTCTCATGTGACTTGCACAACTAGCCAATAGCCCTTGAGTTTCGTATATAAGCATACTGAACTCATGCAAAAAACAAAAAACTGCTCCCAGTCAATCCAGAGAGTAAAAACCTTTACCAATAAATTGAATCAGGTCAATCTGAAGAATGAGTAAATCTGAGGGAATCAAGAGCTGCTCGTGATAATAGAATTCAGAAAAATAGACCAAATTAGATAAATGGATTATTCATTGTTTATTAGTGACTGTGTGCCTCTTTTTGCGCCTTCTGAGTGCCTCCGTGAATGCTTGTTTTAAATGCCCTTAAGCTTGGCTCACATATGAATGCAGTAGTGAAAACTATGCTATTGTGAGCCACTATCCAGTGCCTCATACAGTGTTTGCAGAATCTGCAGGTTTTGTGAAATGTGGCATCATAAGGGCTGTGTACATTTGAAATAAAATTTATAAACATCGCACATCTTTTAACTTTAGTAATTTTCTGAGAAGAAAGAAAGTATGTCAAGTAAAAGAACAAGAATCTAATTAATTACTTTTTGACAAATGAATAGCCACAAGGAAAGAGAAAATAGTTATTAGCACTGTGCCATTTGCTGTGCAGTTTGCATTTAAAGTTCTTTCTTGTACTATCTATATAACCTTTTCTTTTTCTAGCATACTGGTAATTAGAACATTTAGTTAAGTTTATACCTTCTTTCTTTTCACAGGAAAAATTCAGAGAGATGGAAAAAAACCTGAGTCCTGTAAACCAATTCTTAAAGTAGAGTACAAGACCTGTAAAAGCAGGTATGTTTTTCACTGGTAGAAAAGTTTAGGTCTAATCTATGTACAGTATATGATTGTTCTTTGTAAAATAGGGTTACTCATACACACTGTCACCTACAAAGCACTGCAAAACATTCATATGAATGAGATATACTTTAATTATATGAACAGATGCTGTTTGTTCGAGAGGATTGTTTTATAATTAAATCACTGTATAGAACCCAGTGTAACTGAATTTTGTCCCCCACATACTATCTGAGCCATAGACTATCTTTGTAACGTTGAGGAAGTTACCAAGTCACCAGAGAGCCTCTGCATGTAGTAATCTGTAGTCACTTTTCTAATTTATGCTATCTAAAACTTATTTAAAAAATGTATTGATTTTTTTTAAATGCAAGTCTGGAACTGGAATGGATAAGGACTCGATAAAGAATGAATATACATTTACAGGAACTAGAATGATAAGAAATCACTGTAAAGAATGAATATACAACACATTATACAATATACATAGTAAATGTCATTAAATGGGATTTTTATTCCTATTAGTCATTTTTTTGGATCATACTTTGGATTTTAGCTGCCTCAGTTTTATCTAGGTCCTGTTTAGGCACCTAGGGTGCAGCTACACGTGCGCTTTACTGTGGAGTAGACTAATTAGCTCCAAAGTAAAGCATCACTGTCTACATGTGCACCAATATTAAGGCACAGTAAACTAATTAACTCAGGTGTAAGATAGTACTGTCAGGGACAGTACAAAGTAATGAAGTGCATGTGTAGATGGTGACAGGGGCTGGCTGGGGCATTAAAGTACAGGGTGCTGCCTGCTGCATGGCTGTATACTTTAGTACTCTTGTGCCCCAGCCAGCCCTGATGCTACCACCCAGAGCCCAGGGTTGACCCCCTGAGCCTACTGCCAGCCTAGGACTGCTCTACCTTGGCTCAAACTGCTGCTGTCCCGGGCACACTGCTTCGGAGTTTATTGCATCATGTTAATTTCACATGTAGATGCACACCTACAGAAACAATCTTGAGCCGAGCCCAATCCCCATGAATAGCTTTTGAAAAAAGAAATTCCCCCTAAGAATAGCTTTGTTAACAGTGCACTTCTATCATGTGCGGTAACACCATGTACCCACCACAATCCCCAGCAATTGCATTATAATGAACCTCAAATATACCCATCAGAAAATAACTATACTATAGCAGTATTTGGATGATTACAAGGCATGTGTTGGAGTTAAATTTTTGTCTTATAATATGATCGTGGAGGTTATGGTGCATCTAGTGTGTTACTATACATGATAGAAATATAAAGACCTTATTTATAAAAGGATGGCATCTGCCCTTGAAAATGGTGGATATGTTATTTCTTTCAGTTAAGATATGTTAAAGAAAGATACTTTCATTGGATAATTCTTTATTTTCAAAGTTTGTGGAGTGAAGGTGTTCTTAGGTGAGTTTAACTGGTTTCAAATGAAGTGTTTTTTCTCTTTATGTGAATTTATATAAAAGTCCAAATTCACTTCAAACCTGTTAAATATACAACTTTAGAAGCAGTGGCACACATTACAAAAAAAGAAGCTATTATTATATTAATATCTACTAAATTTTTCCACATGCACTGTGCTTACACTTCCTGTGCAGAATATGGGGGTGCCACCTCATCCACAGCACCGTCATTCTCATGTCATTACTTTGCTGCCCTTTACCCACCCTCTGCTCCAGGATCCCATTGAAGTGTCTTCAGAGAACTAGAGTCTGTATGTGTGTGTGCACTGCGCAAATCTGCACTAAGTAGAGCCAGGCAGATGCATTATATCCACAGTTCTTCACTTCCCCTGAGACACTTGGTTACATGGCTTTTCTTAAAAAAATCTCTGTGAGGGAAGCCACAGCTTAAGGAAGTCTGTTGAAGCTGGGTGGAAATTTAAAATCTAGTTGTCATTCCAAAAAGGAACAAAACCAAACAGTTCTAAATTTATCTTGAAATGAAGTTTTTGAAAAAATGTTAGTTTCAGGTGAATAGTTACATTGGTCAAAACATTCAATTCCAGTAAGTCTGACCTTACTGAAATGCTCTTTCCATTCTTTTCATGGGGGGCATGTGCTCCCGGATCTGCACACAGGGGAGTGCAGGCTGCCGCTGCAGGCTGAGGCAGCGCTGAGCTCTTCCCAGTGGGGTGTTGGGCTGGGGCTGCACTTGGGGTAGGTGGTGGCAGTGCTGGGAAGGGGACTATGGTGAATTTTGGGGCACCTGCAGCCTCCTACCATAGCTCCCCTCCCAGCACTACCACCACCTGCCCCAACTGCAGCCCTGGCCCAACCCCACCACTGGGAAGAGCTCGGTGCCACCCTGCCCCGCCCACAGCAGCAGCCCACCCTCACTCCACATGCAGATCCGGGGACACATGCCTCCCATTCCCTCCCAGGGTGCATGCAGTGGCGGGAG